ACATAAATTCGATTTTCAAATGCTGATACATACATGAAACAATTTATATTGCTCTTCATCCATTTCTTCCAAGATTTTACATGACCTTTTTTGATAACCGGTAAGTGGTTCTGGAGATACTGATAGTTTTTGCCAATTATTATTGTTATTACTACTGGCTTGCTGCTTCTGTTTACCTTTGTTTGATGCAGTGGTTGTGGGTGCATTTGCTGTGGTGGTTGCAGGTGCAATATTAGTGGTGGTGGTTGTGGGTGCAATATCAGTAGTGGTAAGACTATTGCTGGTGGTGTTATTAGGACTATTGGTACCATTTTGGGGGGTGATGGTACTGTTACCAGTATTGTCAGTGGTGGTATTACTATATTGATAGTTGTTTGTGATGGTTCGATAATTGTTACTGGCATTGTTGGTAGGACGATTATCATTCGTTTCATTTTCCAGGTCTGTTAGTCCACAGTCCTCTAGCAAAAATGATAATCTGGTAGTACCAGTAGTTCTAATGCCTTCGTCACTTTGATAATTATAGACATTGTTACCTTGTTCTTGTACGCTTGGAGTTGGAGGTCGGAAAGCTTTTTTTAGTTCTTTAACTTCGCTTATTAACGAATGAACTGCTTCCTTCAAAAAACTGATCTCTAGTATTAATAAAATAAACTGTTAGACCTATTGGTATATAAATAGCTTTATTAAAAAAAAAAGTCTTAATAGTACCCCTATCACTTCTGTTAGGTGTCCTAGAACGTCTATTGGAACATCTATAACTTCTTTCACGAGAAGGAGAGTGGGACCTGGACCTGCATGTAGATCATTGGTATCGATTAGAATGAGATGGCATTGGTGTCTGATTGCGGCTTCGTGAAATAGTTCTAGAATGATTTCGACTTCATGAAGGTGTCGAACGATGGCTTTGTCGAGGTGGCATAGAAGGAGAAACTGATCGATGTCGAGGTACTATTCTAATTTTTTGGGCGCTTTTTCTATGCATTTTGTTTTCCAAAACAAAAAAGAACAAAAATGGCAAAAGTTTTTTAGGCAAATAGGTTTTTATTAATATCGGTTGTTCGGTTGATTTAAAGA